AACTTTGGGTTGTGTAATAGAAAACTCAAAATTTTTACCAGAAGAAATATCTTCAGATTATATAGAAAGTAACTCTAAAAGTTTATCAGATGAAACTTCAAAGTCTTTTGAAGAAAGTTGTGAGACACTTTTAACCAAAGAACCTGATTCTTTGGAAGACAGCGTAAAATCTTCATTAGGTGAAATGTCGAACTATGCGAAACCTGTGATGGGGGCTACTGAAGACACTGTAGAGTCTTCATTAAATGTAATTTTAAATTCAGGAGAGCCTTCGCTGGGAAAATCTTCTGAAATTTTAGTACCTGAGACCTTAGAATCCTTGAAAGAGGCTGGTATGCTTCCATTACCAGACTGTTCAAACTTTACAGAAGAGACCTCAAAAGTTCTGTTAGTTGATAACTTGGACACAGTTAAAGGAATTTGTAATCCGTCTTCAAACAAAACGGAAGAATACTCAAAGTTTACATCGGCTGATACTTTGCATTCCGTTGAGGGGATCTCTAAGCTTTCATTGGTTGATGCACCAGATCGCGTAGATGAAGAAAATTCGAAACTTTCTCTAATTGAAACAGTGGACGTTGTTGATGGGAGCTCTAATCTTTCATTAATTGAGATTTCAAATTCTATGGAATTGTGCTGTGAACAAATGTTTTCTGAAACAAGCGACGCAGAAGAGAACTCTAAATTGTCTTTAGATGTTGCCGCAGGTGCTCTGGGAGGAAGGTGTACGCCTTCGTTAGTAGAAGCTTCAAACTCCATAGAAGAAAATGCAAATTCTGTTGACATAATTTCAAACAAACCTGTGTTGGCTGCAGAGAGTTCTGAAATTTCTGTAACTGAGAGTGTGGAGGAAAATTTGACAGTTGGATTACCTGAAACTTCAGATTCTGTGGAACACAACGTTCGGTCTCCGTTAATTGACAGTTTAGAAGACATCTCAGAATCTTTATTTAGGGAAGGTTCTGTGGAACAAAATTGCTGTCCTTCATCAGCAGAAAGTTTATATTCTCTGGAGGAAAATTCAAAATCTGCATCCACTGAAATTCCAGAAAACGTGGAGGAAAATTCGAAATTGACGTCAGCAGAAAGTTTAGATGCTGTGGAAGAAAAACCAAAATCCACATCAACAGAAAGTTCAGATTCTGTGGAAGAAAATCTAGAATCTTTTGAGTCTGTGGTGGAGGAGGAGGAATCGAAATCTATTTCAATAGAGAGTTTTGATTCTGTAAAAGAAATTCACAGCCCCATATTAAGAGGCAGTTCATATTCCTTGGAGGAGGATTCAAAATTTATACCTACCAGTCTGGATGCTGTGAAAGATCACAGACTTTTATCAACAGAAATTTCAGATTGTTTAGAGAAAGATTACAAATCTGCATTAACGGGAGATTCTGAATCAATGGCAGAATGTTCTAAGAGTGTTTCAGCTGAAAATTCAGAACTTACGGCAGAAAATCCACAGTTGTTACTGCCTGATATTGTATATTCAATGGACATATGTAAACCATTGCCACATGAATCTTCAGACGTTGTAAACATAAATTCTGGTGTTGTACTAGAAACTTCAGATGCTCTTAAAGGGAAGTCAAAACGTGCATCATCTGTAACACAAGATGGAGGTGAACTTACTTCAAGCCGCATCCTTAGAAGTAATTCATCTTCATTAACAAAGAGCGTTTATTTTACAGAAGAAAACGAAACTATATCTCTGCATCAGCGTTTGCTGCGAAGCAAGACTGAAGTTGCCATTAATGATCAACTTGCTGGAAGTGGCCGAGTCTCGCGGAAAAGCTTCGCAGTTTCGGTCACAAAACCAGTTGAGTCTGTATCAGACTTCAATGATCATCACAAGGCAGATGGTAATCGTGTCTTAAGGAGCAGTGGTACGCTTAAAAATGATGAACCCTCAGTTGATCAAGAAGGCGCTGGTGATATGGATGTAGGACATTCAAAGTGCCGTTCGAAGGCAAGTACAGTTTCAACTCACGCGCGACACACTCGCCTGCGCAAGTTTAGTCGGCGAGTGAGAGGAGAGCAGTTACAAGAGGAATGGCAATTGGATCCAGAGACACTGTTCTATTGCCGAATTGCAGGAAACATTCAGGAGAATCTCCTGCACCACCTGGATGGCAAGCTGGAGCATGAAGTAACAGTGATGTCTCGAGACTGGAACAGGGCAGGCCCCTCACAGCCCCACGTATCTGCCACTACCACAAATCAGGAAGAGAAGCATTACCATCACCATAGGGCACCATGGGAAAAATTTAATTTCCCAAAAAATTATGATGGCCGCTGCGGGGAAGGAGCAGTATGTCTTGCGTCATATATTAAGGACATGTCACACCTGGACATTTCTACTCAGCTTACGATGCGACAGAACCTGAAGCGTTTGACTGCAGCTCCTCCCACCAGCCGGAGTTTGGCGGACGTGTCAGTCGAAGTTTCAAAGGATGATGTGATTGGCTTCTCGAGGGGGCTATGTCTCAGTGCTAAAGTCTGTGCTGATAGGAGGAGGTCACTTCGTTCTGCAGCAAGTCGTGGGCGAGATGCACCGGCTGCAGCTCCTGGAGGTGCTGCGTCTACCTTTACTGCCAGGTATATAAAGTTGTATATTTTTCTCATTCTTCCCAATAACGGGAAATAATCTAACGTTATCGCACTTTGTTTCTTACTGTCCTGAGGGCTTGAAAATGCTCTTCATTCCCAGGCCTCCTCCTTGGTTTCTGTCTGTCTACCTCTACTGCATGTTGTTGTTGCATTGTGAATAAGGTCACATGAGCGTTAAGTTTTAGCGTAACTGGTTATTTGTAATGTAGCTGCTGGTCACGAAGGTGGTACATATGACAAACTCTTTGTAATGATCCCTTTCTGCCATATGCAGTTTTTCTGTGTTCCAGTATGCAGTGCAGAGACACCCATGCAATTTGAGGTTTTTGCAGTGGTGAAGATGTCAATGTTGGTCTTCTGGGTAGTCAGCCCTGAAGATAGAGACAGTATGTTTCTCCAAAATGTTGGTATCTACCTACAAGTCCACGTGGCGTTACAACCCAGAACACCAACATCATCATGGACACTCAGCTGTTAACAAAAGAGCATAGAATTGAATTCCACTGGTTTTCGTATTTGTTATTGAGAGTCACGTCTGCCCTAATCACAAGTTATGTTCACAGATCTTGACTGTAACCCGGCTTTAAACCAGTCTGTAAAAATTTAGTATCTTAAACTCCTGGTTTAGTATCACGAAGTTGCTGAATATGAAGCAATAATTCTAACATTTTATGTAACTCCGCAAGTCATTGTGGTAATCGCAAAGTTTATCACACATGGTTTTTCTTGAAAAGTTGATAACTACTGTTATGGAATCATGAGTTTCATTACAGTGTTAACAAAATCTGCATCCTGTTCTAAGCAGTTTTGTTCAAGTCCACGCCGTATTTTTCTAACATGTTAATATTATCTTCCCATCTTTGCCGTGGTCTCAAAGTACCTCTCCCTTGTGGTTTTCCAGCTGGAATGTTTGTATTTCTTTGTTTCCTTCATGCATGTTGTATGCCGTGCCCATCTCATGATCCTTGATTTTTTTCCGCCTTAATAATGTTAGGTGATATCACAAATTATTAAACTCCCTGCACGATTTTCTCTAACGTCCTCATTCCCGGTTTTGGGATTTAATATTCTCTTCTACATTTTGCTCTCAGAAACTTTTGTTATGTGTCTTTGTAATGCTCTTAGCTATTTCTGAATAGCTTCAGTAAAGATGTTTAACACCTTCCACTGTTTTATTTTGTTATCGGAAACCGTTTGTTGAAAGTAAGTCTTGACCTATAGAATGTTTATATGTTACAAATCATTTAGTGCATACACTGTGAGTGTTGAGATTTCTCTTATTAATTTGAAAGAAAATACTCCGAAAAGTAAAGATTTGCACTATGTTTTTACAGCTGACTGTAAAAAATTAAAATTTGGGCATAATTTTCATATCGGATTTCATCGGAACCCATCCGGCAGTTCTTGGATTAAGACATGCTAACAGAGATGGACATACACCTTTAGCACTATTTGTACTAATTTTTTGCACAGGTTACAATAGTGTGACTAGGAGTGTTATAATAAAATATCTTAATTAAGAAAAAAAGATGAAACGTTGCGTCAATCAGCTCAGTATTACATGCCAGAGTTTTTATTTTGTGACTCAGATTTTTTTTTGTTGGTCCAAAGTGGAGTATTGTATGTTTGCAGCGCGTCCCTGAAGCGTTGGTCTTCAGCCGATGACGTGGCGGCGGCAGGGTCTGTCGTCGAACTGAGTGGAGAGTGGGTACGGCCCCGGAGCTACATCTGCGCTGCATGCGGAGTCATGTTCGGTGACCTGTGGGATTTGGAGGACCATAAATACAGCCAGCACCCCAATGTGTGGTGCACACATTATGAGTTCGATCAGGCGGCTCTCGAGCAGGGTGCTGAGGCTAGGTACTGTTTCGCTGTAGCGTGATTGTCAAGGGACTTCATAAAGTAAGCATTTCCACTACTTTAAATCTGAAGTCTGAAGCAGTGGAAAGGAAAGTAGTAGAAGCTGGGTCCAGCCACAAAACCTAGTCTATACATTCTGACAAAGAAATATATCCCATACTCTGCTGAGATTTGAACCCCGAATGTCGAGTTCGTAGGACAGAAGTATTAAAGTGGATCTTAATGTAATTTTGTTTGGGCTAGATTGAACTGTAGCCAGATGGTGTCCCGTGACAGACCTTAGTGAACACAGTGATGAACCTTTGAGTTCAATAAAAAGTCAAGTGATTTTTGGTCCAGCTGTCAGTTGGTGATGAAGATTTTGTATTATTTAGGTAGTGCAAGGGGAGAAGGTTTGGTAGGAAAGGAATCGTAGTTTGAAGACATGACTTACAATGTATACTTTCTAGTTTTGTCAGTGCCCTTTGGAGCTCATTTCGTACTACCATGTATAAAATGAATGAACGATAATCGTCATTTTAGTGTCTTGCGCTCTGGTTTTAAACGAGAAACTGTGTATATATGGTGTTCTTTTGTTTCTACAGCAAGTTCCAGGGTGGCAGCATGTCACCAAAGGACTTGTGCCGCCGGTTTCTTTTGGTTCGTGAGGCCATGGAAACTGTCTCGCTGCCTCTACTGAGCTCTGAAGTGAAGTGCACCAAGTGTGAGAGAGGATTCAGCACACTGCCTGAGCTACACAGGTACAGCTGCCATTACTGTCAGTGATCGGTAGGCTTGAATATTTAACGTTTAAAAGCATCGGGACACCCCATTTTGAAGGGGACAGAGGGAGATGCAAAAATATAAGAATAATAAGAAAGTTTTTGATTATTGAATTTATATGCATGTGAGGATTGGCATGTAAATAATATAATGATTCTGAGGGAGGAGGGACATATACCATATTTTCACTAATCTTCTCTGAGTGTGGAGAACTTTTGACTTTATACCCACATTCCAGTAAGGGAACAGCTGGAAATCATTTTCTGAGAGTCCTTACAGTACTGTCGTCGCATTGCTCTGAATTTCTTTACAAGTGTTTCAGATTGAAAACTTCTGAATGAGGTTTTAGTTTGAGAAACATGAAAATATCTGTAAGACTTGAGGTTCTCACAGTGGTGAGTATGAAGATTTCTGTCTTCTGGGCTATTGCGCTGTGTAGTCTGGTCGATGTTAACCAACGTTTCAGAGGTCATACTGCCTCCTTCATCAGAGCGATGAAGATTTCTGTCTTCTGGGTTGTTGCGCTGTGTAGTCTGGTCGATGTTTACCAACGTTTCAGAGGTCATACTGCCTCCGTCATCAGAGTATGAAGATTTCTGTCTTCTGGGTTGTTGCGCTGTGTAGTCTGGTCGATGTTTACCAACGTTTCAGAGGTCATACTGCCTCCGTCATCAGGGTATGAAGATTTCTGTCTTCTGGGTTGTTAACCGACGTTTCAGAGGCCATACTGCCTCCGTCATCAGAGTATGAAGATTTCTGTCTTCTGGGTTGTTGGTTATTGCGCTGTGTAGTCTGGTCGATGTTAACCAACGTTTCAGAGGTCATACTGCCTCCATCATCAGGGCGATGAATGATGACGGAGGCAGTATGACCTCTGAAACGTTGGTTAACATCGACCAGACTACACAGCGCAATAACCCAGAAGACAGAAATCTTCATGAAAATATCTACACAAGACCAAATCATTAAAGTATGGTGGATGTACCAACATTAGTATTTAGTTTTTTATCGTATGTTAAGACTGAGTGGTTAGCAATCCTGCTTCGCGTTTGAGAGTCACCAGTTTCATTTATCGGTCGTTCGGCGATATATAGCCCTAGCTACCGACAGCATCATTAAATAGATCATAAATAAATGAACAAATGTAGGATTTGAGATTTTCACAGCAGTGAGTCTGAAGATTGCAGGTGGACATCTAACCAGACTACACGGCGCAACAATCCATAAGACGGCAATCTTCAAATAAACAAATATTTGGCCCAAAATAAAAATTACCATAAGTGCTGTGTCATGAT